ACTCAATGACGCATGTAGAAGATTGCAGATACGTTATAATGAGCTATTAGGTAGTAGCCAATAAGCGAGCTGTCTCTGCTTTACTTTTTTCGTCTTCCTTAACACCCTTCTCATAAAATGCTTTTAATTCCTCCCCATGTAATCCTTTACCTTGAGTGCCTTCGACAGAGTTTCTCAGTGTTGGCTTAGTCTGAATGGATCTCAAGAGGATAACATCAGGCAATTCAGAGATACGAACAGACTTGGCTTTTGGATTCCCCCTCCCAGTCTTTTTTGACTTATTTTCAGGGCTAGTTAGGGACTTGTGAGGGTCCGTCTTTTTTACATGAGATAAATCAGTATTTGTTGATACCATATTTTTAGAATCTGAAGGTGGGTCTGTTGGTGGATATGATACCATCTCTTTAGGATCTATCGGCGGATAAACTCCTCTCCATATTTGGTATACCCGCCGAGATGATATTTTATATTTGTTTGCCATAACTTCTGATGCTCGCTTCATTGAATTTTTAGCACCAATAATATCCTGAATATCTTTTTCTGATAAGCGGGTCGCATCTGATCGTAAGTAACGTTTCATTTTTTCTTATAGTCAGAAATAATCTGTCGATAAATATTCGATATATTCGATATATATTCGGTACACATTTGGTATACATTCGGTGCATCCGATATATATCTAGTAAATTCGGTGTATCCAGAGCATTCGGTTCATTCAAAACATTCGATATGTTTGGTACGTCTAAAATATTTCCGATATACATCCGATACGTACGGTGTATTCGGTATATCTGAAATGTTCGGTTGGTTCGACATATATTCAGTTCAGAAATTTTAGTCATATTTTTTCTACTGTAGTAACAGTCGAGTCGAAAAAAAAAACCATGAACAATGTATACACCTTGGGAGATATCAATAAAAAAAGCGATACTCCCTCTACGACTGGACATCGACTTGGTACTGCATATGAGCAAGAGCTTGAAGAGAAATTATACTCTGCTCTTAGTTCTAAGGCCGAATTTAGGGATCTTAATGGAAAGTTGGTAGATAAGTATTTAGAGCGAGAAAAAGAGTATCAGCGAACCAATGCTGATATTGGGAATAAGATTAGCCAGTTAAATGCGTCTACTACTAAAGTTAGATCCCAACTTATTTCTGAACGGAAATCCCATTCTGAGAGTTAACGTGAGCTTGAAGCCAAATATACTGCCGAAATCCAATCGCTCAAATCAGAGATTAAAACACTGAAGAGAAAGGTGACTTTGACCCAGAAAGCTTCGTCCGTTGACAAGGATATGATTCTTTCTCTTAAAGCTAAAGTACATGAATTAGAATTAAGCTCATCTGATCCTAAAGAGATCGATTCTCTCAGGCTTGAATTAGAACGAGTGAAGGAGGACTTTAATTCAAAAGAATATACAATAGAATATATGGAAAAGGGAAAAGAATCATCAGATAGCATATATAAACAGGCAATAGATGCTTTGAGAAAGGCGTGATAAATTCAATGCAGGAAAATATACATCCAGAGGATAAGTTTTCTTTAGAATCATTATATAAAATATTGGAAGAAGACTTATCCTTTCTAGATATGTATCCGGATATGATATGAAGGCTTCTTTGGAATTATTATTAGTTATATAAAATATTGGGAGAAGCCTTCACTTTTCTAAATATGTATTCGGGTATGGTGAAGCCTTCTTTAGCGCAAATTCTATGTCTTGGAGGATGAAAAAGAGGTGATAGCGCATTTAGTAAGTAAAATGTAAATGAAATGCAACCAGATGTATCTGAAAAAAATAAGTCTTCTCCGTAATCATTATATAAAATATTGGGAGAAGACTTATACTTTCTAGGTATGTACTTAGGTATGGCTGGCTCAATGTTCCTATGAAAAATTGCCCTAGAAAAAGACCTAGTAAAATCTCTAATATTTCTCACATTAGAACGCGAAATTGCTATACTAATGCTGGTAACTAATAGACAATTCCTGGCAATCAAATGGGTCAGCCATGATAATACATATCACGCCACTAATATTCTAACCAACTGATCATAAATATAACGCCAGTTCTGAGACGCGAACAGGGTTGTAAAATTACCGTAAGATTCGGAATGTCTGTGTAAGTTACGTAAGTTACATAAGTTACGGTAAGTTACTGGTTACATATTCCAAATTTAGAAATCTCATAGTTTATTTAAAAAAAAATATTTTTTCACAGTTTTCTTCAAAAAAAATAATAATCGTTTTATTTTTTAAAATGTAACTAAATATTGAAATAAAATTTTACGATCGAT